CAGCTATACAAATAAACCAGGTATATTTTCAAAGTATATAATCATACAAATCAAAATACAATTTAAATGAATTATAAAACACAATTATAAAAATAAGTAATTTGGAGGGGTCACATTTTTGAATGGGATATCAGAAAATGACTGGGCTAAGCGATGACTTTGATCCTAAACGACAGAGAGTAAAAAGCTATAAGGAAACATAATGAGAGACTATTTCAAGTAGAATTAAGCTTCTGTCACCAAGGATGAGAACAAGGTCAGCATTTCGGAAGTACAGGGGTTTACTAATCAAAGGGAGTATGGTACAATATAAAGTCAAAGATACATGACGGTTTCCAAAGGACACGTGAGAATACTTCAGAAAGTTCGTGGGAAAATAGAATTAAAAGTACAAGCTTACTTTGGTGCAAAACGTTTTGAAGTCCCTGTATAATTTTTTCACAACATTCTCAATGAATTATACTTGTCATATAGTTTGTCAGAGCTCATAATTAGTTGGATCAAGGAATGAAGATGAGGATATGGATACAAAATGAGTGTCAGTTATCTACAAGTGACATATAAAATCATGGGAGAAAATAAGAATGTGTGAAAAGACAAAAAGGCAAAGAAAGGAACATGAACGTTAACATTTAACAAGTGAGCAAAAGGAGAGAATCCATGAATGCAACAAAGTGGTCAGAAAATTAGGAGTGTGAAATGGAAATGGTTGTTTTAGATTAAAAAGGAGCAGAGTTTAGAGAGAAAGCTAGTGATCAGCAGTTAAATGTTATGAATGAAAAGACAAAATAAAATTTCAAATAGAAAATGACATTGAGGGTTATTGGCAATTTTTAAATGTGATTTACTGAAATGGTAGAAGAAAAATCGAATCGTAGAGGAATAAACAGCAAACAATCTGGAGGCACAGAGTGAAAAGCGAATTAAAATTGAAAAGCAGCCTCAGCTTGGGAACCAGCAGTTAGCGTAATGGCTATGTCACTGGACTCCCACGTAGTCGACTGCGGTTCATGTCCCGGACCCGGTGGCTTAACACTCACACCAGGTGCATGTGCGTGCGTGCCCAAGATCCCGAGAGGAGAATGGAGGAGAAGGGATTGCGGCGTGACCATCCCCCCTGGGGGTGATTTCTCGCTTTCTGTCTCTATGTCTCTTTCTGTCTTCTGGTGAACAAACGCGCCCTATAGCGAAAAAAAAACCTCTCCAAAAAAAAAAAAAAAAAGAAAGAAAGAAACTGCACCATTATAGGCAGACAATTATGAACAGGGAGTTCCAATATGCCAACAAAAGGGACATCTGACATATCAATTACTGTTACCAGGGATCACTGACCAACAATGAAAGAATTAAATTTTTCTGTGCTTCTACTTAGTATAGCCAAAGCAGATTAGCATTAAAAAAAAAAATCACTACACCAAGCATTTATTAAGCAAAAGCAAGAAAATGCAATATAGATCATTAAGATGATAAACATATGTCTGATTAAACATGACTATCTTACCAGGCTCATAGATTTTGTGGTACCCCATATTTATTTCTATAACCAGTATTTCATGCAAAAGAACCATATCCCTTCCCTATTAACTACTCCACTACTTTTCTGAAAGGTTATGTTTCTTTTTTTTTTTTTCTTTTTGGAGAGGTTTTTCCTATAGGGCGTGTGTGCTCGCCAGACAGACAGAGAGAGACATAGAGACAGAAAGCGAGAAATCACCCCACAAAGGGGATGGTCACACCGCAATCCCTTTTCCTCCATTCTCCTCTCGGGATCTTGGGCACACACACACGCACGCCCAGCATGAGTTTTAAGCCACCAGGTCGACTACGTGGGAGTCCAGCGACATAGCCATTACGCTAACTGCTGGTTCCCAAGGTTATGTTTATGAGAACCAATTGGTTACTTCAATTTATCAATTATCTATTTATGGCCTTCTAAAAAAATAGAGAGAAGGAGAGAGAGAAAGAGAGAGAGAGAGAAAAAATACATATATTTGTTACAACCCCATAAAACTTCCTAAAAATAAGCTCAGAGTAAAAATTCTTTAACTCTGCTCTCCATGAACTACTTGCTCACAAAACAAAACAAAACAAAACAAAACAAAACAAAACAAAAACGGCTTGTAGCAGTGACTCAGTGATTAACCTAGTCAGCATGACCTAAAACAATCATAACAATTGAATTTTTTTTCCAGGACCCACCACATTTTGAGAAGATAAGGTAATGGTCTTTATGACCCAAAACCTTTATGCAAAAAAGAGTCTCACGACTTTTGTACCTGCTTCAAAATGAGAAAAAATAGCCAGACCATCTAGCATGTGACCCTCACCATGAGGGGAACACATACAAGCCACTTGTGAGAACAAGTGCAGACAAAGCCACTCCTGACCAAAATAAACCTCCACCTCTGTTCCTCTTGGGCAACCCCATTTTAAACCCATACCTTGGTTGGTAGCTATTTATTTATTTATTTATTTATTTATTTATTTACTTATTTATTTTTCTTCTTTTTGCCACAGGGCATGCATGTGCACTTGCCATGGAGAGACAGACAGATACAGTGAGAGGCTTCACTCTCTTAATAAACTCTGCTTTGCTATCCCCTCTCTGTATCCACATCTCTAATTCTTCATAAGTGTGAAACAAAAAATTGAGTTTGATGTTGTCCCTGCATTAGGCATTGGGCCTATACATCTCAATTTCCTATGTCATAAAGACTCTTTATGTTGATTTGCAGACTTTGTGTCTCTTGCTCTCAGAACTAAATAAAAAAACTGCTGTATCCTGAGAAACATTTTTGTGTCTCTCTGGGTGGGCACTCAATGCTGTGCTTAGAGTAACCACATTTAATTATTTCTGCAGAGTTTGGTTGTTTCCATCAATACACAGATAGTAATAGCAAGATTTTCCTATTAAAACTATTTCTACAGTTGAGAAATTATATTTGAAATTTTTATTTTCCTGTTTCTTAAGCTTAAAATATGTTCAAAACAAAACAAAACAAAACAAAATAAAACAAAAACTGAATAGCAATTTCCCAGGCTGTAATTCTCTAAAGAAAGTAGTCATTCATCATTTATAATCAGAAAGCAAAAATTTTATCTACTAATAAATGTGTTGCATTTTATCAACTGTGCTTTAAAAAATATTGTTTATTGAAGTCTACAGTGAGACAGAAATATCTGAAACTGAGCAAGGAACCCCTAAAAAGAGCTAGGCCCTCAGTTTCCCCTTCTGTTGAGGAAGGGGAAAACAATAAAACAATAAAAATTTTCTAATCTGAAAATTAATAAAAGCTGAACTGAAAGTGAAATGTATTTCTAAGAGGCTTAAAATGCAAAGTGCATTTACACTTTAGTGGCCCAAAGTAAGGGAAGGCCTCAGACTTTGGTTATGATAATGAAGTAATAGGGCCATCAGCATGGGCCATAAGACTTTTAAAACTCCCACTTAAAGAAAAAATAAAGTTTTAACTTTATCTCTCAATATGTTTTACAGGATGAAAACTGTTGGCTCTGAGCACACAGAATGAGCTGAATGACATTTGATATCTGATATTCTTCCAGAATAGACATTTGATTACCTATGATCTGCCAATGGAGAGTCTACTAGATGATCACGTCCTCTTGGACCAGTCATTGAACTGATCATGTGCCCTTGCCCCCACCTCTACTCTTAATTAAAAATACTTGTGGGGAACTCCTGAGGGAGACCAAGGATTTTCGCCATGAGCTGCCCACTCTCCTTGCTTGAAGCACGGCAAGAAAGCCGTACCTTCCTTCATCACGCTTTGTGCCTACAGTTTGCTTTTTGGTGCTTGGGCAAGTCCATTTGGTAACAAATCTACAAATTGCATCAGTTAGGTTTAAAAATGGGGCATATCTATCATTGTCTCTAAGAAATATATAGCCTTACACAATTCTCAGTCTATTCTTGCTTATATGGAATTACATAAAAGCAGCAACATTTTGGCACTGATTCATCACCAAGGGTGAATTTCTACTATATTTCATTTGTGTGTTTAAAAAGACTTTTATAACCATCTAAGAGGTGACATTTTACTTTTGTATAGCTTAGCAATGCATTAATATATTCATTTTTAAATGTAAAGATAGTTCAGGATATTTTCAAAACAGACAAATATAAATAATTTAAAATTATTGGTGAATGCATTAAAATGACCTTCACATTTAAATTTAAAATTCTTTTTTTTTTTTTTTGAGAGGTTATTGCTAAAGGGCACGTGTGCTCGCCAGACAGAGAGACAGAGACAGAAAGCAAGAAATCACCCCCTCAGGGGGGATGGCCACGCCGCAATCCCTTTTCCTCCATTCTCCTCTCGGGATCTTGGGCACGCACGCACACATGCCCAGTGTGAGTTTTAAGCCACCGGGTCCGGGACACGAACCGCTGTTGACTACATGGGAGTCCAGCGACATAGCCATTACACTAACTGCTGGTCCCATTAAATTTAAAATTCTAATCGTTCCAACCAAAAATTTAGAAAGTGGACAAAGTCAAAAATACTTTTCTATAAAAAAATTTCAAGACGATGCAAAGTTGTCTGCATAGCAATAACACACCCACTTTTTAAGTTTTCCCTAGAATCTCTTCTAGATATTAAACTTTGCTCCTAAACCGATGTGCCTTAACGTGGTCAAGGGTTGGAGCTAAAAATAGAAGTTTTGTTTGTAACTTCTCATATAGCCTTAAACTTCTTTAACTTTCTAAAGACAGAAAACAGGAAAAATCTGCAAGGCCTCAAAGCAGTGCTGGCATCTGTACATCATGAATCAATAGGAATTTTGAGGAGTGAATACATTCTTGATAAATAACTGGAAGCTACGATACTGAGGAGAGAAGCCTTTTTCTTGATTGTTATCATAGACAAATGGCACTGATAACATAGGATTTTTGTACAGTTACTTATTTTTAACATTTAGACTACAGATAGCAAGAGAGTTAGAAACAGGATTTCCAAATCCAAAATGTATAGACTTACTAGTACATGCCATGGAAGGTGGGTCTTTTTCAGCTCGGAAGTAACCCTTTTCACACTGACAGACAGAAGTCGCTTCCATGTAGGTTAAACTGTGTGGAGGGCATTTAGAACACTTTGTATTTCCGGCAAACGCTTTATAGAATCCTGGTCTGCAGGCTGTAAAAACAGGAAAAACATATTTTACAAGTTATTATTGCTACAGTTTTTTTTTTGTTGTTGTTATTTGGACCTGTACAATATATTTTAATTTATACATATCTTGAATCTCAAGAGTTCAATGTCCCATATACACAAAAAATTTAATCTACATATTAATATGAATAAGTAAATGAAATTGACTATTCAAAGTTAGTACCACAACTATGGTATATCTCAGCTGAGTTTGCTAATTTTTAGAAGCATACATCAAACACACACACACACACACACACACACACACACACACACATATACACACATACACACAAATACACAAACTGGTGCTTACCTACGTGTGAGGATGCCCACATTGGCAGAAAGAGAGATGACTATGCAATTCTGGGAGATGGCATTTCATAAGATTTAATTGTATCATTCAAGTTGCATTTATATGGAATTTCTCCCACAGTCCTTCAAAATAGTGTCTCAGTCTTTAACACTTAATTTTCAGTTGCTAAATTTTATTTAGCAATATTATTTTTAATAGTTTATTTTTATATAATATTGTTTTAATTACTGATCTAATAATTCAGCAAGAACAATATTATCAGTTTTGTGCAGTAAAATTACTATTAAGGGGCTGGTTGGGACAGCCGAGAACTTGGTAGGTAAGGCAGTTAGATCCCTCATGGCTGACCCTGTGTATCAAGTCTCAGTCCTGGAGACTTAAAAAATATGCCAGGCAGGTATGCGTGCATGTCTAACACCTCGAAAGGTAGGAGAGATGAAGGAGAAGGGATGACATGGGGTAAGATTGTACTTTCTCACTTTCCTTCTCTGTCTCTCTGATTCTAATGAGTGCAAGTACCATCTGGCAATTTAAAAAAAAAGAGTCTGATTGTTCAATATCAATATAAATAAATACTGGTGGTACAGTAAGATTCTCCTTTCTAATTTGCTATTTGTTAATAAGTTAATACTGTATTGTTCATCAATAATAATAATTAAAAAAATGTTACTGTATCATTGAAATGTTCCTTAAGGATCTGCTCTGTGGCCTGCTGGTCGATCCCACTTTTCAAGTCCTGGATGCAGCAGGCCATTAAATACCCTGGGTGCACGCGTGCCAAATCCTGACTGGAAGGAAGGATAGAGGAGAAGGGATTGCAGTGTCACCATTTACCATAGGGCATGCTTTCTCTTCTCCCTCTTTGTCTCTGTCTTTCTCTGACAAGCAGAAATATCCTCTAGCAAAAGAAAACAAAAACACCTTTTAAAAATTTTTTAAAAGGTTTTTGTCTTAGGCACTTGAAACAGAGAGGCGGTGAGAGGGAAAGTAAGGAACCCCCAGGGGACGGCCATCCTGTAATCTCTTCTCCTCCACACTCTTCTTTGGATTTGGGATACACATGCACATTCATCTGGTTTGATTTTCAAGCCACCAGGTCTGAGAACCATGGTCAACCAAGTAGGAGCCCAGCACCTTAACCACAACGCCTTCTGCTGGACACCAAAAACATTTTTCTAAACCTGTGGAAATTTAGTGTATATAAATAATAGAACATTAATCTCTAACGTTGTCATAATGAACATATCTTCAAAAAGCACTTAAATTTTTAAACTTGATCTTATGATAGTAGTACAACAATGAATCATAATGTATTCAATAAATACAACTTACATATATTTTTTTCAATAAAATACTTTTCTGCTTAATTTTGATGTTTAAAATAAATATATTATATAGAGTAAGTTTTTAATTATTTACCAAATAGCTTGAAAAGTTAAACCTATCTAGAAATTTAAGTCACCGATCTAAATGGAGGTCTTATATTTCAAATATTCCAATGTCATTTTAAATACATTTATATATTTTAACATATATTATTTAAAACATCTTCAGGTCATCTTTTAGAATATGACCATTTTAAATTAATTAGGACTGTATGGGTATCAGACCATACTAAAAGCTGTTTATTGCATGTACAAATAAAAAACTTCTAATACACACAGATAAGAGAAATAAATATTTTTTCTTCCTTTAACCAATCAAATACATTTTTTGTTTTTAGAATTATTTTATTTAACTTCATTTATCCATTTATTTCACTTTGACCAGAGAGGGACAATGAGAGAGAGAAAAGTGAGAAAGCAAGCTGCCAGGCTTGGGACTTGAATCATGGTCGGCCATGTGGGAGTCCAGCACCCTAAACCACCACATCACCTGCTGACCCCCAGTGATTAAAATTTTAGTCATAAACATTGCTTAGTATGTAAAGTAGCCTGCTCAAAACTTAATTTCTGTGGGAAAAGACATTGTTACCCTTTATTTATTTTCTTTGGAAACTAAGACAGATTTAAGTAACTTCTCAAGTATTTTATTTTCCTCTTCTTTTTAAAATCTTAGAGTACGTACAACATTTCTAAAAATACTTGAAGTAAGTTAATGACATTTAAACTTTTCTGGAGAAAATCTGCCAACTTATCTCTTAGTAGTCCAGTTTAGATGATCATTTTGTTTGCAGAGTGTATTAAAATGGTCAAAAGAGACCGTTACTGCTTTCCTATATTCCTTTGGTTAAGGTTTTGCCTTTCCACAGTCTATCTCCAGCAGGAGATAATCTTAAGTTGCACATCAGATCATGGTAAAAAGAACTCAAAGGGCTGGCTCTGTGGCCTGGTGGTTAGGCAGCCAGCTCCTACATGGATTACTACATAGTTTAAATCCTGGACCTGGTGGCTTGAGAATCATGACAGGCGCATCTGTGTGTATACCCAAAATCCTAAGAGGAAGGAGAAATTGAAAAGGGATAGTCACATGACTGTTCTCCACAGTGGAGGAAGGAATGTTTCTGCCTTCTCATCCTCCTTTCCCACCACAGTCTGCCTCTCTCTCTGGCAAACACACATGCTCTCTAGCTAAATAATTAAATAATAATATGAAATAGAACTCAGAGCCCTCTAAAGGAATTCTGTTTTCCTGGAGTAAAAGTCATTGCCCTATAATGGCACACAAGGCACTACATAATTTTCCCCCATATACTAGATATGATCTTAGTTTTCATCTCCTACGTCTTTTTCCTTCAGGTACTCCAGCCTACTGGCATTTTTAGAATCTTGGATACCCAAAGTTTGCTACTACCTTAGGACTTTGAACACTTGTTCTTAAGCCACTTTCTCCTTGGTTTGTTCCCTCCCTTATTGCGGGTCTTTGTTCAACTGTCACCCAATCAAGGAAGCTCTCAGATTTCCTTTTTAAAATTGCAGAGGCTGCTACAGCCCACCATCATATTCCATATGACCCTCCCTTCCTTATCCTTGAAGTCCAAAGGACATAACTACAAAAAAACTTAATACATTACACATGCTATACTTCATTTTTAAAAATATTTCCCATAGGATCAGTTGTTGGCATGGTGGTTAAGGCGGTTGGATCCCACATAGCCACCTGAGCAGTTTGACTCCTGGACCCAATGACTTGAAAAACACTGTGCTTGTGCCCAAAATCCCAAAAGGAGAATGGAGGAGAAGAGATTGTGGCATGGCCATCCCGCCTTTGGAATAATTTCTCACTTTCTCCACACCCCCCCCCCAGTAAGTGTATGCGCCCTTTAGCAAAAGCTAAAAATAAAAGTAACAAAACTACCCCCCACAAACAAACAAACAAACAAAACAAACAAACAAACAAAAACTATTTCCCATTAGAATGTGTGTTCTGTTAAGCAGAGATTTTGTCTGCTTTGTTTACAGAAGTGCATCTCCAGAGCCTGGAAGACTGCTAGGTGTTACAGGCCTTCAATGAGTATTTGACAAATCAATGAAGTGTGGAGAAATTCTTTTAATTTCTATGAATTTACCTTGCCCTTTCCTCTTCCTCTGTTTAAAAATCTCATCTCTTCATGTCCAGTCTGTGACCCACTCATTTTGCTAATGCCTAGCCATGTTTCAGGTCTCAGTTCTTTAGGCCACTCCAGATTTCCTACACTGGTTTCTCGAAACATCTGTGCCTTTTCCACATCAATTATCTTTTGGCAAAAACTTACTCAATAGCTACAAGCTCCACAAGGCAGGATGGCATAATATTTAGTGCTTGTCATAAAGTAGGTGTGCAATACATGTTTAATTAATTGGGAGAGCATGTGAGCACTCCGCTAATTACTTTTTGACCGAAAATCAGGCATGTTTGCTCAGTGCAAGTTTTAATTATTGCAAAATTTATATTACTGTAAATTTATAGGGTTTCTTCTTTTTTGACTTGCTGAATTACTATATTATAAGTAAGAGATGAAAGCAGTATCTTGAAAGTAATTTAACTCTGGCTAAATACAATTATTCTAATATTGCCATATAAGTTGGCTATTAAGAAAAACAAATTTCCATTTGAAATTATTTCCATGTGAATTTGTGAATTTGAATTCTCTGCCTATTGCTAAATATTAGACACACAAAATACTGGGACTGCAATTCTCAATCCTATCCCTGATATCAAATATTTGTGTACATCAAAACTGCTTTTAAATTCCTTAAAATTTTGAACTCCTAAATATCTTTGGATTATTAAAATATTTATTTTCGCATTAAGGTTTAGTATAATATTTCCTTGAAAAACAATGGATTCTGGTGGTATAAATCAAAAAACCATTGTTCTAGGCACTTCTATATTCTTTATATGGTACACATTAATAGTATACAGCATATACTTCTGTTTTAGCTCATATCATATTAAATTATGACTATTTAACAACATGTGATATAAATTTCCTATGACTGTCACATGCAGAAATGGTCCTTCCTATTCTGGTATCCACAGTACCTCTAGCATGTTTCAAGTGTATATTTAGTTTTTAAATGTTTGAACAGTTGAGTGAGTGAATGAATAAATGATGACTTCATTGATTCCTAATATGAAATTCCTAGAACTCTGTAAATGAAATGAACATCCCTTATGTCTATTCAGTTAGTGAGATTAAGTTTTGTTTGTATTTCTGTTAAAAATAGGGTATCGGGATCTATGTCTT